ATAGCTACTGTTTTTAATTCACTACTTGGCAAGCACCAAAGACAGATGCAATTCTTACAGATGAGTTTGTGGAGCATAAAAACAAGCAAGTTCTGATGACAGTTATGAATGAGGCTGGCTTTAGAGATGGTCCTCTTGCAAATGTATGCAGGCACTAGCCATAATGCTGTAACTACTGCATCTAATACATGAATCAGCCACGTTTGGGATGCTAATTGTGCTTCCTGAGCTGTATTGGCTGCCTCTGTAAAAGCCACATGCTGGGAAGCAGATGAAAGCTATTGAATTGTACTGGTTCAGAGTGATGGATGGACCCTTCAGGTCAATAAAGAACCTGTTTGGTCAAACAGCCCTCTGACTGGCTTGAGGCATGTTTGTATGGTCTGAAAGACTCTTGGCATTAGCTGGCCATCACTTAGTGGTTGAGAGCTCTCTTGGTGGTCCTCTTGGCTGAAACTAAGCTGATAAAAACCAGCCAGATGTCCTATTAACGCTTGATCTTACTCTTGCTTTTTTAAGATAAGCCAATAAACAAGGTTACATAACCAAGTTTTAACATAAGAGCTTTAATAAAATATACTTTTAGAAATATATAAATATATATATAAATATATTCCAGGCAATGGTAAGCCCTAGCTAGTTCCCCTGTGGCAAGAAGACTCGAGTTGACCAGCCTGCTTTTTCATTTTGAAATACTGAGAGCTGACAGGTGCAGAGGCTGGGAAAGTGGTGTCAGCTGAGTTGCCGGCTCAGAGAAGCTCCCAAACCTTGGTGCCTGTACTGCTATGGCTTGGCTTGGTGGGAGGAATGGATTTGAAGACCCTCCCAGGGGTTGAACAAGCTGGTGTGCTGCTTGTGGCTCCTACTAACCTGCAGGGAAGAGTGTAATCCAGGGTGACAAGCTGCTGTTCTTTCTTCTACCCTCACTGGCTTCTCATTTTCTGACTGGAAATGTCAGTAAAAGCAAGAAAAACAGTGGTTTTTCAGTCACTAGCATGCTGGATCTTCATGCTGTTTTTCAGCATAAGAAAGGAAAGAAAAAGAAAGGATTTTACATTTATTTGCTATGTGTGGGTTCCACATACCCTCCACTATGAGCCTGGGGACTTTTCTGGCCTTTCCTGTTTAATGGAGGAGCTTGGACAGAAATTAGGGAATCACTCTTAATAGGCAGCCCTGTGCAAAAGCCCTGTAAAGGTTTCTCGCTGCCATCCTGTGAATATAAACAGTATTTAATAGATCCAATTCTCCTCCTTAGCCAAGGGAAGCATTCCTTTACCTCCTTTGAGTTTAGCAATGAATCAGCAACATGTGCCTGTTTGTTTCGAATACGAAACCACTTCACCAGTAGAAAAATCTTTAATCAAAGTAGACTATGGTCATTCTGTCTTGGGTTAATTTGCTGAATCTTAGGAAGAGAATGATAAACTCCTAGAACATATCTTGGCTGGCTCAAGAGGTGAACTGGAAAACCTGGGAGAGCTTTTTGCTGTGTTGGGGCTCTGCATATTTGACTTCTGGCAGGGATGACTGGTGCAGGTTTCTATGTAGGTTTTAGGTAGTTTGAATTACATGTGTAGTGAAGCACCCTGTAAATTATTTCCCTCTGGGAGAGACCTGATCTTGGGAAACATCAGGTGGAAAGTTTGGGTATGTGTTTGAAGTGCTTATTTGGATTTACTTTTTCCTTAGGGAGAAGTTACGAAACTAATTAACTTAATGGGTCGGAAGAGCATTGAGGTGTCTGGCACAACGAGTTAGAGAAAGTAGACATCCTTCTGCTAAGCATTGTGGTCTCTTCTCGTGCTTTTGGGGATATTTTTAATAGAGTTCCTGGCCTTGGGACTCTTCTGAGGGTTGATGATGAGATTAGCTCTAATCCAAGGACTAAGTCCTTGCTCCTTGTGTCCTGGCTGTTGGTGAGGAGCTGACCCCTTTGTCCTGCCCTGTGCTCAGTCCGGTGGAGCTGTACACCATTGCACTTCAAAATTATGTTAATCTGACTGTTGACTGCCCTATTCTGCCCAGCCTTTCTCCTTCTAAGCAGTCCAGTGTGTGCTGTGGCTTCCATTCATAAAAGTGGTTGGCACAAATCCCTACAAAGCAGGGCACCCTTATCTCACTGCAGGCCTTAGCATTGTTTGTATCGATCCATGGATACCCATCTTGGATCACTAATGGACATCAATTGGAAAAGGTAATAAATTTTTATTGCACTAGAATTAATCTCTCACTTGGTTCCTTTGGACCAGCTCCAGGATCTTGTTAAGAGCAGAAGATACTGATCATGCTAAAGGATGGGAGGGGAATCCAGCCATTCAAGCACAACGACCTGGGTCTGTTCCCCGAGAGCTGAGCAGTAACGCCCAGAGAGGAGCAGAGTTGAAAGCTTTGCTCAATGGATTTAATTGTTTAGGGTGCTTTGAGCACTGGAGAATCACTGCAGAAGGTGGAGAGTAAATCAGAATTCTTTCTGCTTCTTTAGCAGATGTTGGGGAGCATGTAAGAGACACAGGTTCTTCCAGCACCTAATGATGCTTTTGGTGCTTTTCAGTCCCACCTCTACCTTAACACAGCTCTGTCCTCGGTGTGTGAGACAAATCTGGGTTTCACACACAGCTGTGTGCTTGGTGATTTTGTGTCATTCCTTGCTATGGTTTGAGGGGCTGTTTTGCCAATTGGTTCTGGTGCATTCTCATTTGCAGCAGACACCTGTTCCTTAATTATCACCATCCTTCGTCCGTCTCTTTGTGTTTCAGCGCTTGCTGACGCAGGAGCTATTAACGTGATTTGAAGGGAGGCTGTGTTGAGCAGTGTCTGTTTTGGGGGAGAGGAGGTTGAAAGAGATTAGTCACAAACTCAAGAATAATTTTCAGTAAGAGAGTTGGTGTCTATGGTTTGCTCTGGGTCGTTGCCCTACATCGCTCTTCAGTCTAAAGTTTATTTAGTCCTTTGGGGTTTGTGCACTGTCCTAGGACAGAATGGCAGTCCATAGAGAGCAGCTCCTGATTAGAAGAAAGGAACAAGAGGGAGAAGATTAAAAAGATAAAACAAAAAGAGGCTTTTAACTGCCTGGTTTGCTTCTGTGTTAAAACTGGAAGTGTCATAACTGTTAATGCTGGTTTAGCTTCAGTCTTGCCAGTTATGCCTGTGGTGGTGTATTCTGTGTGATTTCAGTGTTTCCTTCAACAGCCATCAGTTGCTTCACAAATCTGAATTCTGTGCATGCTTCCTGTCCTTTTTTTTTCCAAGCAGAAAAAACAAGACTTGGTGTAAGCGATGGCCTCGGATCAGGATATGTCTTCACCGAGTGACGAGTCAAACTGAGGGTTCTCTCCTCTGGTCCCCTTCTGGGTTTACTTTGGTCGTCTGAGAGTACTTGTGATGCGAGGCATTTCCAATTTGCCTTGCAGATATTCTGAAACTGTCTCAAAAAAGGTTTCTGGGGGTTGTACTAGTCTTAAAATAGCTTGAATTCTGTTCTGTCCCTGACTCTGTGGGGTCGACAGAGACCTTGAGGCTCGGCAGCCTGCCCCTTTGAGTCCCAGTTCTTCACTTCTGGTGACACCTTTTCTTGAACTGCTTTAAGAAGTCACGAAAAAGAGCAATGTGTAAATATTAATGTTGAATATTTGTCTTTAAAGATCCCTTTGGGATGCTCTACTAACCTGGTCTGTGTGTGTTGTGGCTTTCTAAACACTGCCTGCTTATAGTGTTTGGACCTGTTAGTGTATCACTAGCTGGTGCTATCCCATGGATGACAGGCAGGGCTCTCTTCTGTAACACCCATTTTGTCTCCCTGTCACAAGTAGCTTCTCTCAGTCTACATTCAGACCACAGCCAAAGCCTGTTTCTTCCTGCAGCAAAGCCTCTTCTCTCTGGGGTAGGTGGGGCCTGAGTGCCACTTGGTGCCCAGACAGAGGTGACAGTGCTGCAGAGGACATCACTTCTGGGCATGGGCTGGCAACATGGTTGCCTTGTGTGCTCTAGGAGAGTGCTAGAAGAAACTCAGGTGGGAAGCTGTGTAGTCCAGATTTCTAGGATGGATCTTTGTTGGATATTTTTGTAACCCAGCTAAAAGAGATGCAACAGACTGGTGCTGCAGCGAACCCCAGTTCAATTTGCCTCATCCCTGGAAGTGTTCAAAGCCAGGCTGGACAGGGCTTTGAGCAATCCAGTCTAGTGGAAAGTGTCCCTGCTCATGGCAGGGGGATGGAACTAGATGGCTTCAAGGTCCCTTTCAACCCAAGCCGTTCTGTGATTCTATGAAACGCTGGTCTCTTAATACACATCTAAGGGGGCAGTGAAGAAAGGTCTCTCTTCATTGACAGAACCTTTAATTTTCACACTGAATTAAGTTCTTTCTTATGAGTATCTCTGATTTTTTTTTTCCTCACTTTGCACAGGTCCAAGCCTCCAAGTCAAGAGCTGAACTGTTACACTATAGCTTCCCACTATATGTTTTTCCATATATTAAAAAACCTTTATCTTTTATACAAGCAACCTAAAGCTTGGGGGAAGAAAGTTCCAGGCAGACCTGGCTCCATTGCTGTTGAGCCTGGGATACCCTGAAGCCACCCCATCAATGTTAATGCAAGCAGACTGGTCAGGGCTATTGCTATTCAGACCTAAACTGAGCATGTACCCGGGCAAAGAGGCCACAGTTTAATATTTAATGTTCCGTAAGGCTGCACTGAGAGCTTTTACTGAAATGTGTCAGTAAAGGAGTGCTGGAGCAGTGATAGCAAGTGGCCAAGAGCCAAGAGGATCCTGAGCTCTACTTCTGCCCCAGGCATGTTCTCTGATACCAAACAGCTCACTTGACCCCCTGTGTGTCAGCCAACTTAGCTGTAAAATTAAGCAACAAAAGAAAGTTTCATGACAAACGGACATGTCTGGAGGTGAACCTTCAATGCAAGCTTTGTTCTACTAATAAATTTGTCTTACTGGCAGAATTTCTGGGTTTTAATCTAATGTGTGTGTTTTTGTTGTCCTTCCAGGCAGCATTCACTCTCCTGTTGGGTCCTTTCACCTTCTTCAATGTGCAGAAGACCAAGTATCTTCAAATCATGACGTCCCTCATGAGATGGATAGGTGAGTCTTGGCAGAGTCCTGGCCACTTCTTTACCACTGATGGAACCTGAGTCACGCCACTGACGCTTCTCTTTGGCAAGATGTTCCTGTTTGGAAGCAAGTGCTTTTCAAAACAACCTCTTTGAGGACAATTGTGCAGGCCTAATAAATCTTTGAGGAGAAGGATTTTATTCTAGGATGAATTTTCTGATTAAAGCAAGACAAAGTGTTCTCAATCAGACGTGGCAGGTAGACGAAGTTTTAGTCTGGTTTGTGTGAGAGGCAGAAAGGGTTTGGAAGAGTCTCCTGCATGGGGGCTGTCTGTGATATCCACCAGTTGTAAGTTTCTCATTCTCACAGCATGTGTACAACAGACTTTGAAGAATCTTTGTTTTGATCTGAGAACAAAAGGCGCTTCTGTCAGACTTTCCACCCTTAGTTTTATCATCTGTTTGCATTTTATTTTCCTGGGTCTTCCTTTATGGTAGGATGTGCTGCATTGGAAACCCCCAAACCCATGTGTGTTGTCCTTGGGAAGCCATGACTTCTCTCTAAAATCTTATTGCCAAGAACCTCTGGGAAGACAGGTCATTCCCTGAAGAGAAATAAGACATCACTACCTTTTTTTCTTTTTTTTTTTCTCCAATGCCTTTGTCATTCTAAGATGCAGCTGCCTCATGTCTGGATTGTGTGTCTACATGCCCTTAAAGGCTGAGAGGTGTATGTGTGTGTTGTGGAGGCTTATGTTCAGGTTTGTCTACTTTTGTGTAACCTGGACAGACTAACTGATATTCAGGGCTAATAAAGAGCATTTCTGCAGGTTAATAACCAGCATTTCTGCAGGTCAACAGTCTCCTGGTTCATGAGTCCAGACCACTCAAGCACAGAATTAGCTCTGTTTATACCTATCACTGACCTGGAATAATAAGAAAAGCTGCTTCTCTGAGTATTTCCCACCACACACATACTCTTGACCTGACTGCAGTTGGGTATTGTCCCTTTTCCTGAATTCATCCTGTATCATCCCTTTTCATGAATTCATCCTGTTTGGAAATGGTGGCAGTCACTGGAGAGGAACAGAGATCCTCTGTTCCAGAGAACTCCTGAGATGGGGTTAAGCAGTTGTCACCCGGGAAAATGAAGTTGGATTTTGAGCTCTCAAGCCTCAGATGTTGAACAGCTTGATTTAACAAATCCTGACCTTGGATGGTGTGAAAATCCTGAATGTCTGTTTTTTCCCCTTTGTTGTCTGAGCACATGAAAGGTTTGAAAGCCCTCCCGTTCTTCAGAGAAGGGCTATCTCATTAAGGGGTACTAAAGGAAGTGAGGAAGTTTTGGGTCCTTTTTTTTCCCTTCTACTTTTTTTTCCAAGAGTGATCTCTGCTCAGCTGACTGGCCTGTTTCCAATCACCCTGCCTCCTCTTTCCTGGTAAAGACATCAGTCAGAGCTCATCCTGTCTCTGTGACAGCCTGACGCCTGCCTCATCTGCTGTTGGTTTCCCTTTAGCCAGCTCCTTCCAGTATGAGGACTGCTAAACCTTGGCATAAAGGCAGAACTGTTCCTCTTTTTCATCTCTTGATGGAGAGGGACAAAGGCAGTGTTTGGGGAAGTGTAGGGGAAATTCATGCTTTAGCCTGATTGATTCCTGCATCAGCACACTGGGGAACAGCTGCCCCAGATAATGATAGTTAATGACCCTGACAGCACCTCAGTGGCTACTTAGAGCAATGGATTCCGTATGTGTACAATGAGGGATAGATTTATTGGGAAGGACGATCTATCAAAAAGCCATGTGATGCAGGGAGTAGAGAAAAGCTCTTGCTGCAGATTCTGGGATAAGGATGGATCCCGTACTGCTGAGATTTATCAAGCTGGCCTCTCCCATGTCCTTACATCACTGCTGTCCCCCCCTCCCAATGCAGGACTGTGAGTTAAACATGAGTTGGTCTTTTGTTGGTGCTTAGAGAGTTTAGATCCTAAAGAATGGTCTTAGATGGTGGTTTATGGTGTCCTGGACTTTTCCTGCCTGCTTGCCAATGGCCAGTTGTGAACTCTTTGTCCTGATATAATCTGTACCTCACTTTCCTTGAGTTGGTTTTAGCCATGGGTGCTGAGGGTGGTTCTCTTGCAAAGCACTCTGAGCAGCAGAGCAACACTGGAGCTGCCAGCCTGCCTGTTTGTTGTGTTGGGAAAAATTTCCCACACAGACAGTGGCTGCTTCAGCTTAGACATGCCCGTTATCTTGGTGTGGATGGGAAGCTGACCCATGCTTTCCATCATGATTTGAGAAAATCAAGCCTCCTTGAGCTGGGAGGTCAGTACAGACTTTGCAGTGTGTCTTCTGCACAGGACCCACTGCACACCCTTTTCCCCAGCCCCGTGGAAAGCACCTGGATTTTGGAGCAGCAGAGGCTGATGTAAAGCAGCACTGCCCCAGGTGTACTGGTGATTCAGATGATAGCGGCTGAGAGGATGGTTCTTGGCAGCAGGGAGAGCTAGCTGTGTGTGAAGGTCATTTCTGCTCGTGTTTGTAACAGTGTCAGCCTTGCCTTTGGAAGTTGCTTTCCCTCTTTCTCCTGATCTAAGTGATAATCAAATGTCACCAGCCTCTTCCAGAGCCTCATGCTCATCACTGGCAGCACATCAGCTATCAAAGCCTACAGTGGTCTCTTTCCACACCTTGCAGACAAGAACAATTTCATTCTGTCTCTGAAAAATAGTCGTAAACACTGGGATCCGAACTGGAAATTATAAATGGAGATGTGGCAGGGATGAGCCCTTCATCTGGCTGCACTTTTCCTCCCAGGGTAAGGGACTAGGTAGGACAGGCATCTTTGAAGCCCCTAAAGGGAGAAAGTTGAAGGAGGAGCTTTGCAAGCCCAAGTGTTGTACTGCTAGAGAGCCCAGACAGATGGGCTCTTCTTGTCTGGGCCTGTTGATCATGGACAGCTCATCTGGAAACAAGGCTGGCATGGCGAGACGCTTCCCTGCCAGGACTGGTAGGAGCATAGAGCATGGATCTGTGTCTCCAGGTGGAGGGGGGCTGGTGGCAGAGAGGGCTTCCAGAGGCACTGAGCTGTTGGCAGACTTCTGAAGAGTAACAGCTTACACACTTGGCTGCAAAACCAATTGCCTTTGTGTGGGTGAGTGCCAATGGTTAAATTCAGTGCAGTAGTTGGTGCTTGAACTGCTGGCCTTATCCATGCTTAGAGATCTGTGTTCTCCAGGAGCTGGCGGGTGTGTAAGGCTTTGCCTACACAAGCTCTGATCCCTTTCCCAACTCTGAAAGCCCCTCTGGTACCTAAACTGCCTTGGGAGACTGAGCACAGGCACCCTAGGGGATGCAACAAGGACCCTGCCTGCTGTGCTTCCCTGGAGAAAGGGCTAGTCAGGAAAAATCACTTGGTTTAAGTCCTGGCAGCAGTGCTTACAGTGAAGCCTTGTTTTGAGTTATGAACCTTGTTTTGAGTTAGTCTTGTTGGCTCCCCCAGCTCTATTAAGAGCAGAGATGGGGCCAGGTAAGTATGAATCATTCCCCTGGGGTGAGGAGGGTTCTTCCCCAGACTGTAATTCGTTCCTTCCTTTCATCTCCCTTCCACTTCAGTCTTGTAAAAGTGTAGAGCTGTTATTAGCCCAAGTCCTTTACCAGTTTTAGAGCCTGTTTCCAGGTCTTTTACAAGGTTCTTGGAGCAGGGAGTCTCTCACAGAAGCCTACACCAACTAAGCCATCAACAAATTAGAGCTGTTGGTATTTTCAATTCTGCTGTTTGGACTTAAGGCTCTTTTGTTTTCCTGGAGGGTTTAACTCTGTGGTGGTGATGGATTGTTCTCTAAAGAGACTTGAATATTTAGCTGGGGTTTTTTCCCCCTCATTTCTTCAATTCTGAGTAAGTGGGTGGTGTTAGGGGTGAGCTGCTGAAGGGCAGCAAAAGGGACTGAGCCAGGCAAGTCCCATGCACCTCTCAAAGCAGAGGGGACACAGCTCACTGAGGCACAGCCCTACCTCTTTACTGTTGGATAATATTGGATAATAACTGTCTAGCAGCGTCATGGGATAGGATATGGATTAGGAAAGATAACAAAAGGACAGGGCTTGGTGGAGCTCAGCAGCAAACACTGGGCTATTGTGTATTAAGCAGCTAACCCGATTAGTTGCAGCCTGTTGCAGCCTGAGATGTCCAACTCTATAGGTGAGGACTGTTGGCTTTAAAGACATTGGTAGCAAGATTATCACTGCTGTTATTGAATAGTCTCTGGCAAATGTTCCCAGACAGCTCCCACGTGGGACATTTGCAGCGTGTGCTGCTCTTGATGCTGCATCGTAGTTATTAGAAAGTATTGTATTTTAATAAAGAGATGTTTTATAGAGGAATAAACTTGTGGGTTTGGTTGCTGCAGGCTCAGTTGTGTCCCTGTAGCACAGTCAGATCGTACCACATCTATTCAAGTGACTGCAGCCCCTGAGACAGAGCATTCCCAACCCTGCCCAAACAATGATCCCACAATTATATGCCCAGGAATAAAACCTATCCCCTAGCTCTTTTTCCCTGGCCAGCAAGACAGAGGGAAAGCAGACAAGAATAGCCTGGAAGTCTGTGTTAAGCCCTTTTTTCTCCACCCCGTCCCCTTCCAGGATACTTGGCAGAAGGCTTCTGGGGAAACCTTCTCCAGAGCATGCCAGTGGGGCTGACTTTCCATATCTGCTGATTTCTCTGGTAGTTCTGCTCTCTCCACCAGAGCCCTGCTCTTTACAGCACTGCTCTGCACAAAACTGGTCTCAGACCATCTCACCTTGTGAGCAGTCTCAAGGATGTCCCTGCCATCCTTAGCAGTGGAACCAGCTGTGCTGGAGTTGATTCAGTGCAGAAACCTGGAGTCACTCTGCTACGTCCCTTCAGCTGCTGAGACTGAGAATTAGAGAGGAGGCTGATTTAGGATGGGGTGACAGTTATCTGAAGTCCTGTGTTTCCAGTCTCCTGCAGAGAGATTAGTCTGCCAGTGCCACAGTCCTCAAAGTGGG